TGTCACCAAAGTGGGAACCTATGGTACTAGGAAAAAAAATTATGGAAGCCCCACTGAATCATCTATTCAGGGACTATCTTACTGCTTCTGATTTAAGTTCCAAAGAGACAGCAGCATTAAAAAAGGCAAACCAAGAATTTGACATCTTGTCCATCCTTTTTTTTTTTTTTTTTTTTTTTTTTTTTTTTTTTGTCATTAGAAGTTCATATGTCTTAAAAGAAAACACTCAGAGAAATTCCAGAACATAAAATATTGGGTGGTCAATCCAAATATTAGAAAAGTTTGCTCAAAAATTGATGAAAATGGACAAAGCTTTTGAACTTTATGGCCAGTAAATTCTTCTCCCCCATGGGATTTTTAGCAGCACCTATTTTTCCTTATGGAACTATATTGCACCTTTCAATGGAACATTTTCTGCAATGCCTTTCAGGGCTGTGAATTGGCATGGATTTATCCAACCCACACTTCACCGTTATGGCCTGGCTTCAGAGATTATTCACTGTATTTTCAGTCTGGCTCCCACATTTTTCTTTTCACAGCTCTCGTATTTTTCATTTGGAAAGGCTGTGCAATATAGGATTGTTTGTATATATCATAAAGATTTTGCTTTATTCTTCTTCAGTAGCATGCATGTGTCTGACATCTCACAAAGACCTGCTTGTTGGTATTTTGGGTCCTGTTGATGAAAATCTGGTTGCTGAAGGGCCAGGACGTCCTGTCTGGCATTTTAAATGGTCACCAACAAAAAGATGGAAGACATTTACATTGTTACTGCAGCTAAGAGGTTTGGAAAGTCACATCTATCAGTAGCTGCTTAATAATGTTTTCTTCTCTTTCTTTCTGTTCAGAACAAATCTGTTGCGCTTTGCTGGGAGCTGGGAAAGAGCTATGTTAATTTACACTTGTGTTTCTTCCTTTAAATATCCCTACTTTGAGTGCTTTTGTGGAGGAGCCATGCAGCACCCAAGACCAGGCAGAGCCCGTACCAGAGCAACAGAAATGGGAATACTCTGCAGGAGTGTTTCCCAAACCCTGGGTTTTCTTCGGGATTATGAACATTTCTCGGTAAATTTGGATATGCTAGAGAGCTATGGAGTGTGCTGACCTCTGGTTGATGACCTGTTCTCTGAGAGCAATTCAACTATAGATGTTCTGCCCATCAAACCTCTGCCACAAGACTCCTGGAGGCACCTACACACAAAAATACACCGATCCCATTTTGTAAGGGAGGGAATTTGTTCAGCTAATTTGTCTCAGACGTTCATAAAGTACTGAAACACTCACCAGCCTTTTGGGCTCTGCTGTTCACTCAGATTTTCATAGACAGAATATTTTGCACAATATTTTGAGAATGTTAAAGTTGCCAGAATTATTTTTTTTCTTAGTTGAAAGATGGCTTTATAATGTGACTTCTTGTTCTGAGACACTGCCAGAGTAAAATCTGAGGGTATTCAGCAATCATCGTAAGGTTCACTGCTAGTATTTTGAGAATAAAAATATTAGAAATAGGGCAGATAGGAAAAGTAATGTGACAAAACGTTGATCTCTACTAAGCTGATGAATAAAACCGTGTAGAAGAACTCAGTTTTGCATAGTGGAAGAGGTTTTTGCTTTTTTTTTGGTGGATGTTCAATTTTGGGACTTTGGGATCCTTCAGGAGCAGGGCAGCCATATAGATGTGTAGTATTAGGAATGCTCTACTTCTTTATAGTAACTTGTAACTGTTATTTTTTTGTGTCCCTTGCATTGAATATATCCCTTTGTAGAGGTGATTATAGCAACTCGGTGCACAGGTGAGGCCAGAAAGGAGGGAGAGTATGAGAAGAATTAGTTCTGGTCCCAAGTGAGAGCTCCATTGGTTCAGCAGCCACAGAAAGGATTTAAAGGTTTAAGTCTCTGTGCTAGACATTGGTTTCAAACACCTCAGAAGCCCTGCAGAAGCCATTGCAGGTTACTGCTGGGATTAAACAGCTCAGCTGAGTGCTGTGCTGGCCTGGGAGCCCCACTGCCCGTGGTCTGTGTAGGACTCGCTGAAAATGGAGGTCATGCAGTTGGAGATTTTGTGTTAGCAATAATTATTGTCATTATTCTCTCTTAGGTCCCTCTTGCACTTGCTCAAAGCTATATTTTAATATGCAGATATTAATGCTAGAATAGGGCAAAATAGCAAAAAACGCCATGAACATTCGTTCTCCCTCTTAAACTTTTTTCCCCTTATCCCTTAAACACAGCAGCAGCCTATGTGCTCACTCAGTCCATTTTGGCAAATGATTTTCCATGTCTCCTTTCTGCACTTCATGCCACACACACATTTTCTGAGTGTAGTGATGGGAGAGGAACGTGCTCTGCGGGAAGGTGCTGTGTGAAAAGAACAGCCTTTATATAGTGTTTAAACTAAATAGATATGGTGTTTAAACCATCACAAGTAGTGTTAAAAATCCTGTGTCCTGGAAAGGGGAAATGCTTGAATTCTTTGTGGTAAAGGACTCTCTGACTGCTTCACAATATGGTGGACAGAATAAAAAGGGGTTCTGGAGCTGTCTACACTTAGGTTTATTTTAGGGGCTGTTTTGCAGGGGGTGGCAGAGTGTCTGTGTAACTGATACATTCTGCAGCACCTTTTCTATCTTTGTGAAGTTGCAATTGGTATTTCGGAGTTTAGCACGTCAAAATTGCGCTTCAGTCCCCTTAAATCCCACGGAGTGGATTAGCTACCAGAAGACGCCATGCTGGCTGCAGCACCACGTGGTGTGATGGTGAGGATGTGGGTGTTGTGGCCGAGGCACACTCCCTTGGATGTGCTGCAGGCAGCGTCGATGCGTAGCTGCAGGGCTTGGTGCCAGTGTGGGCTGTTTGCTCGTGGGACGGTCATAAAAAGGAGAGGGCTCCACATGCTTGTAAGGGAACACCAGCACTCAATCACTGCTGCCTTTGAGTTCAATCCAGAAGTTGGTGTGGTGCCGTGTGTTGTCATTGTGCTGCTTAATGAGTTGTTTGCAGACTGTGCTGTCATGTCCTGAGCCACGTAGGAGAACCCAGCCAAAATGAAGACACTGCTGCGTAAGTGGTAATGCGTCCCTGATGGATAGTGTGGCAGGAAAACTGCATCTGTTAGATCCTCATCCACAGCCCGTGGAGTCACTGGGGGTGGGAGGAGTGAGTGCCACCATTGGGATGGGTTGGGGACCAGGCCAAAGAGACAGCCAAAGGGAGAAGGTCCTGCTTTGGGACAGGGGACCTGTTTCATACCTGCACTGTGTTATGAGGAAAAACTGAGCATTGGATTAGAAAGAGAGGCATAGTAGGCTTCCTGAAGATGTTTAGTTCAACTGTAAGGAGGGTGTAAGGAGGTAACTACTGATACGTTACCCATGTAACTGCAAATTCGTTAGAACGTTCAAGAGCAAAACATATGTTGTGATCTACTCAAAGAACTATTTAATAGATATAACACAAGGTAAGCATATTTTTGTTTCAGTATAAAGAAAGAACATTTTATCTAAAATTCTTTTATCCTGTATCAGCCATTGAAAACCATTTGTTACACCAGTTTGTGAAAAAAATGACTTTTCTGTACTTTGTTATTTTTCTGTTTGCATTCTTTATTACTTTTTTTGTTAGGTTTTCTCATATTTATTCCTTTACTTTTACTTCCTGCTAGATTCAGAACATTTTCCATTTATCCAGAGAAGCTAAATGCGCTCTAAGCAGACAGCAACTACAGAGGTCAATGGCAGTTTCTTTGCTGTCTATAGGAGGACCAGTCCCCAGTGCAAGGAGCTCAGTGCATGCCCACATTTAGCATTTTGATATTTGTGAATGAAATGCAGATGCGTTATTGAATACTACTAATAAAAACACATTTCCTTCATGAATCATAAAATGCTGCCAAAGTATTAGTGCACATGTGCATTTGCATGACAAGATCAGAAATGTACTTGGACAGTCCCTGCAAGTGCATGGCATGCATTTACTTAAAAATTTATCACCAGTGGGGAAAACAGATTTTGAGAGGCTGTAAGAAATCACTTCAGATTTGCAGATTATGTGCTCTGAGGAAGATCTCTGGTTTGCAGGAATGCAGTGTGTGATCCAAGTATGATAAGCCCTTTCAGGAGAGTTTAGTATTTGGGATTTCAGTTACAGAAGCATTTGAAGACACACACATTTTCTTGACACGTGAGCACCATGCTTAACTCAAATGAAGCCACTTTCTCAGGCTTTGGCGGGGCTGTGACATACACTTACAACTAAACATATGCTAACCTCCTATTTTGGATCAGGATCCTCTTTTGAAATATTCTACATGTGTGAAGACATGGAGTTTCTAATCAGTTGAAGGCTTCTAGATAATGAAATATCATCACAGAGAAGGATGGGATAATCCATATAATTCTCATGGAGCTCATTAAATCACTTTGAAAAAACAACTGAACACAGAGTTATATTTAGCTTGATTCTCAGAAGTGTTAGTAGCATGCTTTTAATGTGACAGATTGGATATGGAAAGCAATATAAAACATGGGCTTCAGTGTATAGAATTTTTTATTTCTTCAGCTTAAGGACATTGTTAAAATCCATGTGCATTTTTAAGATCTTTTCCATCATTTAAGATTCAACTAGTGCTAGTTTGCCAAAAACATTCATCTTTATTTGCTTTCAGTGCTCTGTGCTCAGAAGAAGTTAAAAAGGGGACCATTTGTTAGCCATTTATTTATTTATTTATTTATTATATTTATTTATTATATTTAGCCATTTATTTATTCATTATAACCATTTATTTATTTCTTTACAGTAGTAGCAAGAAGTGAAGACTGATTTTGCTTCTTTTGTTGGCATAGATATTTTTTGTTCTGAGACAAATGGGAGTATTTTAAGAGTGATGTTAAAAGAACATCTTTCTTTCAAAGAAACGACATCTTCAGTCTATAGCTAAATAGTTATTTGTATACTTTTTTTCTTCTTTTTCCTTTCTTCCTCTCTTTTTCTCCCCCTAACAGGTGACATGTATGCAGTGGTTGCAAGGGGACCATACAATGCTGGATATGATTGAGAAAAAACGTTGCCTCTGCAAAGAAATAAAAGCTCGACAGAAATCAGAGAAAGGACTCTGCAAACAGGACAGCATGCCTATCTTGCCGAGTTGGAAAAAGAACACCGGGACCAAGAAATATAGCCCTCCTCCTTATTCCAAACAACAAACTGTTTTCTGGGACACTGCAATCTGAGAGGTGTGGGGAGGATGCTCTCTCCACCGCATTGCACCATGCACAGGTAGCCAGCTTTCTTAATGGGGCAAAGGCTCTAACTAGGACTTACCTGCAGGTGGTGAACTTCCTCGGAAAAAAACGCACCTGTACAGTGCTCACCTGTCAATCAAAAGAGAGTTCTAAATTTCCAACTGGATTAAGGCATATATATTTATCCAGGATTTTTTTGGATCCAGAAGATATTAGAATGTAAATATTTTGCCAATATATTGAAAACGCCCAAACTAATAACACTGCTGAAATATATATATATATATATATTCAAAAATTTATGAAGAATTTTACTATATAATGTTACTGTTATATGGTTTTATTAACTATTTTCTATGTGGTATTCTAATGTTCCCTCACAACCCCCACCACCATTTTATTTCTCTTACCTGCCTAGATTTGGCCTCTGTACAAAAGCATGTGGTTGTACATTATATTTAACGGGACAGTGTACAAAACAACTCGGTGCTAGGGCTGTAGAAGTTACCTAGAGTTGTGCTTGTTAGATGTCCTTAGCTTTTTTGGAGGGAGGGCTGGACAAGGGAGAGAGTTTTGGTGTAAAACAGCAGAACTGCAGGCCAAGCAAATGGGAATGCTCAGTGTGGATGCCCAAGTTTACAACACAAATTTCTCTGCATCAGTTTTCTCACAAAGTTAACTGCATAGATTGCCCGTGCTTTTATCCTCATCGGTTAATCTCCATCTATAGCTGCTTGCCAACAAGGGAAGCTAAATTTTCTGAAGAAAACCCCAAAACAGAAACTCCTCCCCATGACATCCAGCTGGCTAGTGGAGACCAAGGTTCACTGTGACTGAGCTCGTGGCGAGGAGCCCGCTCGTTAGCAGGTTACAGCCGTGGCATTGCAGCCACGGCTCCTGTCTGCATTTGTCTTTGGTCCAGAAAAGAAGGGTGAAAAACCTGTTTACATGTTTATTAGTTTTAAATCCAGCAGCATGTCCTGTGTCAGATTACTGTGTGTTACCTATGGAGGTTGGCATTCAGCCCCCCTGATGGCTGGTACAGAAATCTCCCTCGATGTCACGTGGGTTAGAAGCAGAGGCCATGTAACATGTTCTCCCACATCTGCCGTGTCCTGGCTGCCCCTGTAATTGGCTTAGAGTCCTGTATGATATTACACGCATTTTGACAGAATATTATGTCATGACCAAAGAATTACGACCTCCTGGTTTTAACGGGAGAAAGAAGTGGTTTAAGCTGATAATGAGGGTGAAATCCATGTGGTGAAATATCTTCCAGAAGAAGCCGTTGAGAACGAGGGAAGCTTGTACTGCTGTGGAGTGGGAAAAAAAAATTATGGCATATATTTTGTATATTTAAATTTCTATGTGTCTGAAATTTGGTAGCACAAAATTTCTCTTTAAAACAATCATTTTAGTATTATATTCTGTGAAAAGAAAAGTTGTGTTGTTTAAAACTTCTTGTTATATCGGCTTTTCTTTGAAATTCTATTGACAGCATTGCCACAGCTGTAATTGCTGATCAAAAAACCAAAAATAACAAATTTTAGAAGGTTTTTGTAATCTATATTGCTAAAGTTTAAGTTTGAGTAATGCTTTATCAGTAGCAGTTTCTTTTCAGCCTCTGAAATAAAGTTTTTAAATATTTTATAACTAACTAATGTATATTTTGATGTCCAAACTGAGATTTCTGTAAAAGATAAAGTGTGTGTTTATATGTGTGTATGTATATTAGCATTATTGTGTATGTGTATATGCATATGTATACACACATATATATGTATATATGCATGTATCTCTCTATATACTCATAGATGTGTGCATTAAATAGTTGTATGTTAAGGATATACCGTGACAGGAATGGGTACGCAATTGAAATGCAGATTTAAAGACCCCCTCACAGCCCAAATGACAGAAGAAGTGAAAAACTCCAGAGGCTGTGAAGGAATCTTTGAATACATGTGACATCCGCTACACCAACTGTACATTCTGCTTATTCTCTTTTTTTTTAAAGAAAGAAAATGGCAGAAGAAAAACTCCAGAGATCTCGTAAAGTTCCAGAATCTGCTGGAAAGAAGACGACTTGTTGGTTGTGAGAAATCTGTTGAGATAACGGGTTCATTGTTCAGAAAGCATTTGTTCTTTGTCTTCCTTGTTAGGTGGCAAGAGAAGAAATTCTCATAACCATGCCTGAAATACTCAGCTCAGCTCTTTCCCCATCTGCACCAAACCTGTGGTGACAAAACAAAACCACCGTCTGGCTGTGCTGTGACACCCACGACGTGCTGGCTGTGCAGTCCCAACCTGTGGGTGAGCTGGGTGCTGCACTGTCAGACCCTTTGGAGGACAGCAAACATGGAAGAAAGCAGTTCTGCCGTGTTCAGTAGCGTTTGTTCATTCCGTGTCCTTTCCACATCAAGGCGTAATAGGAATAACGATCAGGGAATTGAAGCATTCTTGTCACAGACTTGCTTGTACATTCAGCCTGCCATAGAAGCCACCCTTTGTTTTGCTTTTATTGCTCAACACTATTTATGTTGTCCTTAAAAAACTGCCGTGTGCTTCCAGACCTCCATTGTATCCCATGGAAACAATGGCATTTTGTTTTAAAGTGCAACACTACGTGAAAAAGTAAAATAGAACTTAGCACTTACCTTCCAAGCACTTTAGAAATGTGGACTGAACCTCACGCTCGTGAGAATCGTTATAAGGAGGAGGGAGTGAGGCTCAGGTTGAGGAGTTTCCCAAGGTCACGGACTCAGCCAGGGCACCACAGACGTGTCCTGGTGTCCTGTGATGGCTGGCCCACCCCATCACTCACATCGCAGAGCGTCGTGCTGCCTGCTGTGCCATCAGGACGCTGTTCAGATGTTCTCCACATTCCCTATTGTCTCAGCAGTTTCTGTGTCACAGGGTGAATGACAGTGCTTAGCTACGCGCAGTCATTGAAGCTGTAGTCTGTAGAAATATGCAATCTGTATATACATACAGATCACATATATACACACACTTATGAAGACTGTATATATGAAGTTGTTTGGTATGCACTTACTTTGCTTTAAACTCCTGAAGTTAAACATTATTGTGTAGCAATTTGTGTAAAGTGCACTGTGATTTCCAGAAAGCACAGTAAAGTCACAGGTCTTGTTATTCTTGCACTAAAAATGTGTTTACGTATATTAGCCAATGTATGTCTACTTTATTGCTCCTTTTGACAAAGCAAATGGTATACAATGGTATGGGTTCTTTTTGGTTTGGGTTGTTTATTTATTTTTTAGTGGACAATGGCACTATGTTTTTAAATGACAGGGTTTTTAAATGAAATGAAATCATTCTGTGTTCATTCCAGTGTAACACATTTACCGATATCTTAAAACTGAATGTCATGTTGCTTTTTTTTCATATTTCATTAGAAATTGTCAGGTATGTGCCTGAGATTGTGTAGGAGTAAGGAGTAGCTAGAGGCTAACTGTAATAATATATTACTAGCCGTTTCTATATACACAGTATAAATACATATTAATTTTCTTTTCATTTTTGTACTTGATTTTTTTAGGTAAGATGTAATTAAATGTAACTTTGATACTTCTGAAGTAATAAGATGTTGTTTGAAGATCAATTCTGCTTTCTTTAGTGCATTGACAATATTTTACAATAATTTAGTGCTTATTTATTTGTGCTCCAGTGTAATTATAATAAAAAGCAATAGTTTAAAATATTTGGCTGTTCATTTTCATTTGACGGTTTCAGTGTAAAGCTGGATTGTTTGCTAGGAATTAGCCAGAGTTTGCTTGGAAGAAAAGTCAAGTCACAGGTGTATATTTACAGCATTCCCTGGACACGTCTGTAATCGCATCGTTTGTTGGAGGAAGTGAACAAATTGCTTTAATAGGTTAAAATTTGCAAGTCGTGCCTAGTTGCATCTAATGCCATGACTGCCATCCTCAACTAAATCCTCAGGATAAAATTTCTCTGTAGAGGAGCAAAGTGTTTGTTTTTTTAAGCACCTTTTAGAGTTTGGTAATGAAAATGGTCACATCAAAGACCCCTCTTCAAAGATCTGCCCATGAGCAGAACATACACTGATGGAAGAGGGACCCATCTGCCATCCAAAAAGCTCTTAAAAAATCTGTTCAAAAAGTCAGTGTAATTTTATGTTTCCAGCCAGAATCTTTACTTCCATCGCGATGTGAAACCTACCAGCAGATGTCCTACCAGCAGAATTCCACAGGGCAGCAGGGCACGGCAGAGCTGTGGGATAAGGAGAGCACCTGTAGAACCCCACAAACGATGCCGATCTTCTGTGTGACTGTTTTCATTACTTTGTGTCTTTTGTTATCACTGAAGTTTTGCAGCATGGATTCTCTGTCTGAGAATCTTGTGTCCTAGTTTTGAAGATGAGATTCTATAATGTAAAGTTTCCACGACAAAGTAAGCAGCAATCTTAAAAAGAACACAGGAAAAAAAACAAACCAGTAATATTCCTGCTATAGCACTGAGACCAAACGTATTTCTGTGCATGGAAAAATCTTCTTTCAATATGCCAAATAGATACTGTCCATGTTTGCATGGATCTGTATGTAAAACCGATCCAGTGGAAGTCTTTTGGTTGCTTTTTGCAGGCACTGATTCCAAGTCAGATTGCAGATGACTGAAAAAATGCTTTCTAAAAGTGTCCGTCCAGGAGCCATGTGCTTTCCCGAGGCACAGCCTCTCTCCTCAACATCAGCCTTGCTGCTAAGCTAAGCCTTGCTGCCAGCTTCTGCTCCTCATCCTCTCCCCAGCCCCTGCCACCAACAGGTGTTCAGAGTGACCCATCCTTCAAAGCAACCCCCAGCCTTTTGTCCCAGGCTCATTATTTTGGAGATATATCCTATAGAGGTGACTAGAAATGAATGGAACAACATTTTGCAGGGAATTTTTTTCCTAAAGACCACCAGATTTAAAAGAGGAAAAGAGAATGTCTGTCAGTTGAAGAGACAAACTGTGGTCTGTTCTGTTCAGTGAGACATTTCACGATATTTAGCCTCTTAGTTCCTGTCTAAAGACTTTCCAGCATGACTCCCTACACCCACTCCCTCCACATGTCATGCATGACCATTGCTGGAGACAGCAGCACCTGAAGGAATGAAAGGGAAGAATTGACAAATGCAGCAGGAAGTACAAATTGTGGGAAAATCAGATTTTTTTTTCCATTTTAGAATATGTTTATTGGCTTTTCTTGCCACTGCAGAGAGCTTTCTATGTGCTATTGTGTCTTAAACAGAAGAGGTTTGAATTAAAAGGAGACAAGACCATAAAAAGCAATGGTTGAGTTTTACACTTGGATTTGCTCTAAGTTTATTTGAAAGTTGAAAGGTGCCTGCAGTGCTATATCTTGGGTATCTGCTCCTTTTGCATTTTAAAACCCATCACAATAACACTGGCAGGAGTTACTGCTGTTTCCCTGCCTCAGTCATTCAGAGTGACCTTAGCTGGTGCCAGAGTGGCTGCAAAGCAATGAAAGCAGGCAGGGGCTGTCTTAGCAGGGAACCAGTAACCTGCCCTGAGCACAGCTGAGCAGCCATCAGAGGAGCAATGGGCCAGCATCGCTCAGATCTATGGCCAGAACTGACAGAGCTGGCAGGGAAACTGCAGGAAACTAAATAAAATTTACAAAAACTAAAGACAACTGAAAAACACTGCTCAAAGGCAAGACTGAACACATTTGGCATTTATTTTCTAAACCTGCCAACATCTCTTTTATGGTTCAGTTTTACCTTTAAAGCAAAATTCCACACCTGTCACCTCTTAATTGCAATTTTGGGTGTGGTGATGGTGGTGGTTTTAGTGCTCTCTCCACCTGTGGCATATTTACATCCTTCTTTGTGCTCTACTCTCTTTCTGTCTCTGCAATTTCTTTCGTGATATTCTTTGGGAAGTATATTTTTATGGAACCAATGAGAGTTCCTCTGTCCTCTATTGTTCCTTTTAGTGTTGTGCTCTCCCTCCCTTGTTCTCAGCTGTCTCTCCCTAATCTTTCATGAAAACATGCAAAGAAAGCAGGAGCAGGAGACACCAACAGCTCTATTTTAAATAACAGCCTTTACCAGTGCTGTTCTGAGTGTATGTACAGAGAAATTCATGATGTGATTCAGAAGTGACTGCAAAGACTGGCTATGAGGCACTGAGAAGCTGTAGTGAGCTCACAGCTGCAACTGGTCAGCAGGGAGGGCAGGTCTGATGGCCACCTGTCTGCTGGGCTCAACCATCCTCCAGTGGAGGCACAGAAAGAACAGGCATGGGGGGGAGGTTCTGTGGCTGCTGCTGGCAGGAGTTTGGCATGAGCCAGGAGGAAATGTAAAGATGTATATTAAAATGAAGGACCGCTTTTCCCATAAGCCTCCCCCAGCGTTAATCTCTGCCCTATAAGCAGTCTGCAGCGGCTCAGGAGCCATGCTGACCTCTCCTAGCCCTGAGGAAGATCACAAAAGTGTGGAGGATCTTCACCTCTCTCTAGCAGGTACCTTTGTAAGCCTGGCTCCTTCTTGAACTCTGCCTGGCCCTTGGGCTGGGGGTAGTGAAATGGAGGTGGGAGCTGTGGGGGATTAGGGCTGCTTCTCTTCTGGGGCCTTACATGCTTATGGCATAACTGGGCCTCTTGCTTGGTGTCCTTATGTGATCAAAATCTGTCCGTAAAAACTGACCAGATGTTTGTGCTAGGAGATGCAATATGAATGTAGTAGCAATGCTTCCTAAATCCTTGAAAGAGACATGAAGTGCATGGGATTAAGCTGTTCCATGTTTGTACAGATGTACAGCCTTACAGATGTGTGCACAAACAAAAGAAAAATAAAACTACTACCTCAAGGTTAATTAAAAAAAAAAAAATCCCATGTATCTCAGGAAAAGTAAAAAGGAGATCAACCGGTGATTTCCCATTTCCTCTGGTGGCAATGGCTGGGTGCAGAAGGCCTGCAGAGCCATGGGTGAGGAGCAGCTGGTGGATGCTGGGTGCCTCACCTCAGAGCTGCTGGGCGGGAAGCAGCTGCTGCCCCAGTGATGCTTCCTGCTCCTGTGAGGTGGCTGCTGCAAAGAGCTCCCATCCTGAGGAGGGCAGGGAGAGCAGTCCTCCCTATTGGGAGGGCCAGTCTGTGCCCCAGGGTGAGAGATAGCAATTGAGTTTAGGGCATGAGAAATGACTGAGAACTTGGCAGCAAATGCTACGTTTCAGGCTCCTGTGCAAAAAGCCACTGAGGAGAGCCAGCAGCCAGAACCCTGGTATCTGGCTGGCAGGGCCCTCAGGATGCAGCTCTTTGGGTGTCCACTGTGTCACCCGATAAGCTTTGTGCTGACAGGATTTACATCGGGCATGCTGCAGTCTGCAGGAAGCTCACCAGCCTCCCTCTGCACTCATTTCAGAAGATTGCAGCAGCTTGGTGGATTTCTGTAGGGACAGGCTTGGGATGTCTGCAGGCTGCCCCAGCTGAGAGGATGTCAGAGGGATGCAGCTCCGCAGCGCATGTGGCGCCCGCTGGAAGGTAAGTTCTGGAAATCCTTCGGTTCTCCTGCCTAAACATGGTGCACCATGCCTGAGTGCATGGCAGCCGTTAGGTCGTGGCCTGAACCAGTGATTGAGCACCTGGTGGAGAGGTGTGGCCAGGCCAGGTGCAAGCAATTGCCCTGTGCAAGTGCAAGGGGTGGAGCCAAGGTCCTAACTTCATTTAAGGGCTGGAGATGGGAGGGAAACATCTAGAAAGAAGCAACTTTTAAGCAGAGGAGTTTTCCGGTGAGCCCTTTTCTTCAAAGTGGGGTAAGCTATTTCTTCTGTATTATTCAATTGTGACCTTTCTTGGGTTATCTGAAAACCGGTCGGTGGTAACTACGTGCCTCTAATTTCCTGCCATGCGCTGGGGCAGGGGGATCCTGCCTAGGCTGTTAGTGCAGGCGTGGAGCCTGTGCTTCCTCAGCCATCACTCCTTATTGAATTTCTCTGGCCATGCGCTCTGTGACCTTATGCTTTGTTTAGACATTAGCACCTCTGCAAAGTGGGTGTTAAATGGTGCCGTTATGGTTGGTAACATTTTAACGTCTACTTGAAGAGTGTAAATGATTCTACAAGGTTCGGGGCGGTGCAAACAGCCTTTGCTTCGTCTCCAGCTGGCGGGTCTAATTCAAAGCAAATCCCGTGGAATTCGGCTCCCCCCCCTCCCCCCCAATGAGATCTTCGTTTTCTTGAATTCTTCGGGGTTTTATCACTGTTCTGGTGAACAGAACAACTGAAACTCCAGTGTGTTAATTTTCCCACTGTGAAGAGAGTGAGATATCCTTTACTGAGCAGGCAGAGGTGTTTCTGCTGGATCTTCAGGCACTTCTGAGTTGTGTGAGACATCTGAAATCAATACTTTCCTGGCTCTGCCCTGCATCTGAGAAGGTTGTGATGTGGTGACTGAAGTCCCATTTGCAGTAAGCTGATGGGATGACTTGCTCTTCACGGCAAGTGTCTGCCTGGCCTGGGTAGTGCCTGCTGGGCGAGCAGTGAGCTCAGCTGTGAGCTCCAGAAGGACCAGTGGTGCTATGGTAAGCTGGACTTTGCTGGCCTGTGTTGGCATCGGGAACAATAGGTTTGGGAAGTGGGGCAGTGGTGATGGTGTTTCCATACAAAACTTGGTCTTGACTGATTTGCACGGGCTGTAAGGTGTCTGCCCCATCACTGGGTGTTGGTTTCTGGTCTAGGCAGGAGCAGGTGCTGTTCTAGGCTGACTGGAAGATCAACTAGCTTCAGAACAATAAAGCTATGGGGCCTCCTTTGTGTATTTTCAAGCAGTGTAAGCAGGTCAAGCAGGGGTAACTGCTAGAGACAGTATCAAATGAATGTATCAGAGAAAAGCATCTCAGAGGAACATGGAGTCAGGGTCTGCCTTGGCACTGAGTGTGTGCCTTCAAGCGTGACCAGGATATCTTTAAGCATTTCAGAAACAAGTACTGTGTAGTTCACCCCAGAATCAGTGCTGGAATGATTTTGCCAACATTTGCCAGTGATTTAGTACCACAGGCTGCCAGGAGCTGTGAATTTGACCAGTTGCTCTCAATTCTTCCTTATACTCTTGCTGGCATTTCATTAGCACTCAGCAGCTCCTTCTGTTTCATTACTTATGGCTATATCTGCAGACACAGGTGTGTAAATCTCTAGTATGCTGTCTGAGTAGTACTTAATGTCTGAGAAATGATGAAAACCCTTCACAATAATGTTTTTTGAAATGAACAAGTAATACTTCTGATTATTTTTATTTGTAAAAAATGTCACGTTACTCTACTTTCCCTCTGTTCTGGTTCAAGCATGTGATATTTTGAGGCATCACATTTTGACAAGCTTTAACCAAGTGAGTGTAATCTGAGAATAGTCTCACCTTCAGGAACGTAAAAGCAAATCTGAGTTTAGGCTTTCTATACTTCTGTAAGAAAGTTTTCTTGCTGCCTCTTCACTTTCCACAGAGACACAGCTGTTTTTGTTAACAGACTTCTGCTGCATATAAATTATCTTTCTGTCCTTCTCTCTCTGAGAAACAATTAATACCTAGTGCCTTTTGCTCGGGTTTTCCCGAGCAAATGAGGTGAGGTGAGTTGGCTTGGGGGTGGGAATAGTTGCTTGGTGTCTTGCTGTGGTGAAATATAGCACTTACATATTCTGATAGTTCAAGGCATGTTTTAGGAAAGTTTTATACTGTTTCTGTGACAAACTAATAGGAAATCAGGCAAAATGCTGACTTGGACTTTTGCTTATGGCTATTTTTTGTCCTTCAAATTGTATCTCCACTGAAGAGCACTTGACAGTACGACGGAGAAGAACAATTAGTGCTGCGTGTGCTGCTGCACTGGCTTAGAAGTACTTCTAGATTTACCCTAGACAGAAATTATTTTATACCAGTTTATCTTTGGGTAGAATATTACTGGCTGATACTGCCAAGGTAAAGCAAAGTGTTAATGAGAGCTCAGTCAACCTGTCTCTGTGTCTCTGGAGACCTCAGCCTTGAGATCTCCCCTCCACATTTTTAGATGTAGTCTTGTTTTCTACTGTCTGCACCTTACAGACAGGAAATCCACTATTAGAAGGAATTTGTAAACTGTGTGGGCTTCCTGTTTATTTTTGAGTTTTTCTTCTGTTGTTTGGGGATATATTTCTGTCCTGTAAGCTTTTAAAAGAAGGAATAGATGAATTTCTCATGAAAAGAGAGGATGTATCACTTGTACGTACATAGTACAGAAAAATCAAAACCTGAGGAAGTGCCTCTGAACAAGAATAAGAAAATAGGGCTATTTGCTTTTTGGAAAGTTGTTATGGAAACTAGCTCAAAATCCTAAATGGACGTCATTTATGTTACCACGTATTTGGCACTTACTGACTTGGGTGCGTTAGTAACTTTACTCTGAGAGTACATTACCTTCATACGGGGAAAGGAATGTCATCACGTGCTCCTCCAGAATCCAGCAATATATATTTTAATTAACAAATTATAATTAAAAATATTTCAGTCTCACATTTATGTGCAATTTGATGTAATTCTGCAAAGAAACTTTAAGAGCTTTTTTGTGTGTGTGTGAAAACTCTTGAGGGGCATTAAACTCTAGTGTATCTAATTAATGCTTTAAATATTCTTTCCCATCAGCTTAATCTTTAGCTATTGCTTTGTTGCCTTGTTACCTAATATTAACTGCTTATTGAAATTGATTGTTTCTGGTATTTTCAAGTGTTGATTGTTCCTTCATGGCTGAACATTTTAATATAATGCTATTGATTTTTCTCACATTATAGCTCTCCTCATAACTCCTAACTACAGAGTGTCATTGTGGACTATCAACATGTGGGGACACCTGCTAATGATAAATTCAGGATGAAGAATGTCTTCTGAGTGCAATGTTCTTTCAAGCACTAGGATCTTAGAATAGTATTTCAGCTTTTCTTCAAAAGTAGTGAAAACATTTACCTGCAAACTTGAAATAGTGTGACATGGATCCTAGAACGTGTTGATTGGAACACCCTGTTGTCTCCATAAGATTCTCACTTACTGAGTTTCCACTATTTGTTTGCTGAGATCAGGGCAGGACTAGAGAATACTTCCTGCTCTCTGTGCTTGTGCTGAAGGCCACAAAAGTGGCCAGTACCAGTGACTGCTGCTGTCCTTGCTGTGACTGTGTGCCTCCTCCTCCTCCAAAAGCTCCACTTCAGTGGCTTTTCCATGGTTATGTATCTCTGACGTGAGACCCAGCAACTGTCACAGCCTACTGTCACAAAACAAAACCCAATGTTTTGACCATCAGAAATTCATCTTCTGTTGTTTGGCACTTCATTAAAAATAAATTATTCCACATCTTCCTACTCATCTAGATTACACAGTGATTTTCAGTTCAGAGACATTGATGGGGTAAGACAACAGAGAATGCTTGCATAGCTGGATGATGGCAGAAGGCTTTTCCTTCCATTCTTACTGAAGCAAGTGATTTTTTTTTTTTTACTTCTGAAAGTGCAGTTGGTATTTGAGAAGAGAGCTGCCCACAGCAGCTTTGAAGAATCAGACAGCTGAGGCAGTACAGCAGTTTGAGCACCAGCACCTTTGGTGTTCTGATGTTATTGTATTGCTTTATGCTTTTGCTGGGGAACGGGGCACGATTTTAATGATCGAATGAAAAGCCATTTGGCCAAGAAAAACTTCTCTAGATATTGCAGATGTTAGGACTAGGAAGATAAATGCATGGAAAGGGGAGTACAGTTAACCTACTTTCCTACCAGAAGACTTGACTAGATAGTTCTTTATATCAACACCAACGCATCTCAGAAATCAGTTTTTGTTGAAGAAATTCTTGGACATTGGAATGGCCTCTTCTCTCTTTTTACCCTGAAGAGGCACAGGCCTTCTTTGTCCAAGCTGGTGCAGTTAGCTGCTTTCACTGCCCTGGTTCCATCTTTTTGCTCTGGGTCTTGCCTGATGCTATATGCAAGAAATGTGGCTAATCAGGAGGTCACGCTTAGGAAACAAGTTTGGTCAAGGTCCTTACCAAAAGTAACCATTGGATATTTTGGTTTTGTTCTGTAGAGGATCCTCAGTAGCATACAAGGTGGAATAATCCAAGTGAGCATGTAAGCTTAGAAGCCGTACGCCTGTAGGGAACCTTGCATCCTCTCCTAAATAGCTAACAGTGCATCCCACCTGGCTACAACCCTTTTCTCACCATCGTGTCCTATCTCAGCACTTGTGTTTGTGTACCTGTGTGCAAGGCGTCAGAGCAGTGGGGACGCTGATATTTTTGTAATGGCCCTGACCAGCAGTGGGGCTTCCATTCCCACTCACCTGCCAATGAGCCTAGAAGCTCCACTGAAGCTCAGGAGCCTTTCTCTCTTTCTGAGCTGTGTGGTAGCGATGCTGGCTTCCAGCTCTGCCTCGCAGCTGTGGACCATGGTACCTGCATGATGCTTAGGGCTTCTGCCTGCACCCAGCCTACCCTGCTCCACTCATCTCACTGGGAATCAGTGCTTTGCAGGATGGATGAAATTAGCTAGACAAAGATGGAGTTGAGTAGAAGCAGAATCAATGTGGCATTTTGAACAAATATAGGACAGAAGATAAAGCACTGAAAAAAATAAAGCCTGCAGCTTGATCCAAATATAGAAAATACTTCTAAATAGGCTGGATATGCTCTGGTGGAGGAAGTAATAATAAAAGAGAGACAATAAATATTTACCAGTATTGTAAATAATACAGCTAAATAACACCAGGAAAATAGCCAAAGATACTGTTACAATTTAAGGCTGATGCAAAGAAGCTTGGTATAATTAGTGCACTTCTTTTTTCGAAAAGAGGGATTGGAAAGGCATTAGCTAAGTAAATGGCAAATGATTTTCAAGTAGTTGGAGCACTTGCATTGCCCTCGCTGATGCCTGGCCCTGAACAGCTTTGAAGCTTATGATATTCTGGATTCTCTAAGGTATGTTGTAAGCACAAATATGTATATATATATTTATTCTGAAGGCCATATACTGTTCTTTTTATCTTGTTTTTCTGTGTTTTTGAAAACAGATTTTGTTGTGGATGTTGAGTTGGTTGCAGGAAACAACTGCGCCAGGCCAATGCCTTTGGCACCCAGCATGAGATGTTCTGACCCTTGGAGCCTGGGCCCCAGTTATGTATTTGGAATGTCTGTACATCTTGCCCTTGACATGTTTCTCACTAGCTTCAGGAAGCTGGAGATGGTCATGAGAGTCTCTGTTTCTTGTCACCCATTAAATAAAAAAAATTGTAAGATTGCCCTGTGATGATCTAGCTGCTGAAGTTTATTGGATGCTTGCAGGATGCTGTCAGACACACAAGTTGCATTGGAAGCAGTGGTCGCTGTGGTAGGTGACGTGCAGCTCAGCAGCCATGGGCTGGGACTGAACAGCAAAGGCCACTGAGGAAGAGTTGTCATGAGGTCCGCTGTGCAAAGTGGCTACTTTGTACTTCCCTGTACAGCTGTTCCCTGTGTAAGCGACAGCTCAGTGGCATCTGGGAAAGTCCTGAGCCCTCCTACCATACAGTTATTTGCAGACCAAAATGTATCATGGAAGGCAAATGTTAATTACCTGAAAATACATAGTACCTTGTGGTATTTTTCTGCTGTGTGAATCTCTTGCCTTTCTTTGTAAAGGAGCAAACTTCCAATTTTTATTTGACCAGCATGTGGTGCAGCAAGGCTCTGGCAATGAGCAGGGCTGGCTGCTGCACCAACGGGGGCACACGGCTTCCAGCAGCCAGACAGGAGTCCCAGCTCTGACCCAGATGCAGCTGCTGTCCCTGGGCAGATAACGTCACAGTGGATTGACTGCACGATTCTGACAGTGGCAGCAGGAGAGGGATCTTGCTCGATACAAAGCTGCTGGCATCACACCACGGGTTATGTGTGTATGCTGAGTCTAGATCAAGGTGGCAACATGGCTGTGTGGTGCGAGGTGCTGTGCTGGTGGGTGGGTGCTCATGAAGCCTTCCATGGTAATCTCTGGAAGATCCTGAATTTAATTTTTCTGTCGGGCTTCTTGTTTCAGCAGTTTACAGCAGGGATGTGTGTTTATAGAGATCTGTTAGGCTGCCCTTTCAAGTGTTTAAATAATATTGTATCAACATGGCACAGACTGATCTGTATCTTAGCAACTGTGTCAAGTTCACGATGGGCTAAAAATCAAATGGAATCAAACAATCTGGAGTCTCTGAGTTGAGAAAGCTGAGAACGGGGAGAAAATTACAAGGTTATTCTGGGCCCAACTGATGCTCCCCTTCAGCTTCACACTGCGCTAATTGTGGGTTAACAAGTACCTTGAAACTATAATTAAAATGAAAGATATAAACAGTATCTCCAGAAATGAATACCTTTAAGAAATTTCAAGACAAGAAAAACATTGAGGAACCAGAAGTGCAGTTGATGTTTGGAGTGTGGATAAGTCTATGAAGAAAACAAAATACATTCACCCACTTCTGCTTAGATTTCACTCATTTTCCGTCAGTTTTTAAGTCTTGAAAATGATGTGTTTCAATACCATGTCGAATGTGTTGTATGTCTACCCCAAGTGCAGTACTGGCAAGAATAGAGTTGCAACCCCAAGCATTAGCAAATGCATGTAGCCTACTGCACTGTTACACAGGTGTGCAGCTCTGAGCTGTGCAACAGCCTGCTCCAAAGAAGAGCTTGCAGGCCTCTTGTTCGCAGCCTGGTTAAGTAGGTTATATGTTGTCCAGAGCCAGCAACAGCCACTTTGCATCACATTTCAATTATCTATGCTTGTGGTCACCCCCTTTTAATGGTGTGACTATTTTGGATCATTCTTGATTGTACGTGTAAGCCATTCTGTTTAATTTTAGCAGGTGATTGTTACTGTCTTCAGCACCTGTCTGCCAATGACTCTTACATTAGGGAATGAAATTTGTTCCAAAAGACACATTTCAGCTTTCAAAAATATCATACAAGAGTTGTTCAGATCTCACAGGTACTCACTTATACGGAGATCTATGACTCAACTAATGGTTTGCATGAAGCTGATATTTAAAGGCATTAGTTAAGCCTATTAAGTACCCTGAAGATGATTATAGGCCTAAGATTTTCTAACTGTAAGTACATCATCAGAACTTTCACTCATCAGATATCTCTGCTGGAATACTTACAAGGCAGGATTGCACTTGATTTCCAGGAACAAGAAAAGATTTTAGTAGTGCTTTTCAATTGACAAACTAGTCCTTGGGACACAAATGAATAGATGAGACTTTAGGTGATAAATTCAGGAAGGAAGAATTATGGCATCTATGCATTTAAGACCATCTGCATTCCTGCTTAGCTGGTGCACATTTTCTTTAAGTCTGCCTGAAAGCCTCTTCAGTTTAAAATGGATTTTTTTTGGTGATTGCCTGTCAAATTTCTTGAGCAGTATTTCTTTTAACAACTTCTTACCTGTGATAATACAATTTTCCATCAGAAAAAGTAACTGCATTTACTTCCAAATGGGCTATGTGAGGAAAAAATACTTATTTAGTGCAATTGGCAATCCATTCACCTGTTTTTATGTACTTTTGGTGAGAGGGTTACAATATTCTTTGGCACATGAAGCTTCAAAGAAATTCTAATTTTCCTTTCACCTCATGCTCAAGTCGAGCACTGATCATGATACTGAAATAGCTTTTGACTCTTAGCCCTCACTTATGCAGTTTGACATTCCAGGTGTCACAAAGAACTCAGTGCATTCTACTGTATGAGAATACTTGTTTACCTTTTGTAACTAGAGTCCGTAAGTAAAACTGCTTTTTGTGTCTACTTAGAATAATGACACTTAAATTAAATGACTGTTTTTCTCCTACATCTTGTTTAATGTTCACCTTCTGTTTTGGTTTGAATTATATGTTGAGATATTCTCCTGTGTTTTGAGTTTAGCTATGGTTACAATTTTTGGCTTCAGCTTTTTGAGCACTTTGGAGATTAATCTTTGATTTAAAAACTATTTATCATGTTGGGGTTTGCTATTAAGAGCATTCTGTCTGCTAATTTTTAAATTACTTTGGGTTGAGTAACTTCAAATATTAGCAGCAAGAAATTTAAACTTAGGTTTACTCATAAATAAATAAAAGTTTGAAATAAAAGTTCTTCTGCTTCCTTTATAATTGCTGTCAAATCGCAATGCAGTATTTCTAAGAACACTTTGTCCAATTGCATTAGTCAGAAAGATAGAACAAGATGACATTCTGCTTTTTTGTTCAGTACCTGGAAAGCTTTTATTTAAACCTGCCAAAATATATATTTTGTCATTCTTTGAGATGTTTTCTTGCAGATCTGCAACAGTAACAGTTCTACTGTCTTGCTGGTTATCGCTTTGTCCATATGTGGTTGCTGAACAAGCTGCACTTGAGTAATGGGAATCATATGCTAGGAGAACACTTGTCAGCCTCT